GACCACCACAGGACAAACACAATGCCTGACGCAGTAATCACTAACACTTCCAAGCCTCCCATCACTCCCCCTTCTCGTAGCCCCAAACCCTCGGCTCCCCATAATCACAGCACTCAACCCAAGCCTCTCCACTTCCAAGCAAAGCCTCTCCTTCATGTCATGATCTTTAACTATATGAATTTTGAAAGGAATCTGGGCCTCCACCAAGGGCTGCGCCAGATCAGAGGCCTTAGTGGTGGTGAAAGTGTCGAAATCGTCTTCTAGCTTCTGCTGAGACTCTTCGTTCTCAGCATCGACAATGGAGAGGTCAACAGAGCCCCAATCAGCGCCGTAGAGGACGGAAGTCGGACGGACGTGGACGAGAATAACGGCGTCTCCGGGACGGAGGTAGTGGTGAACAGCCCATTTGACAGCGAAAGCTGACTCGTCGGAGAGGTCGACGGCGATGCCGATCTTGCGTTGGGCGTTGGCGGTGGGAGTTTCTGTCGACGAAGGAGTGGTCGGGGGAGGGAAGCGTGGGGAGGAGGAGCGAACTTTGATTTTGGCGAGGGGTGGCAGGTCGGATTCCGCCGTGGACTGGCGGTGGTTTTGGTTTTGATTTTGCATCGTCGGAAACTTTGGGGGTTAGGGTTTTGATATTTGTATTGACTTTTGATTTACGGATCGTTGACCAATGGAAATTATGCGTTGAGTTGTGACTTGTGAGGATTTGGCGTGTAAAATAGTAAAGGGAATGGAAACTGATAATGGGCGGTGGGGGTCTGAAGTGAGGTGCGGCAGTGGGGCGATAAACTGGCAAAGCGAATATGTTTTTTGTCAGTCCCCATTTCGTCCCTCTTTTCTTATCCGGTCCCTTTTCGCTTTCAGCCCTCGATTTGCTTTGCTTATTGTTGGGCTGTAAGAGTTGCAGAATGACCAATTATGGAGTTTGGTCCACGTATATTTGTGCCCTCAATCCTGTAATCCCAGATGGGCTAGGTGCATGCAGTGGTCTTGCACTCTTGTTCGTGTATCTGAAGTAGGAAGTTTGCAACAGGATTGGTATATCAAATGTCTTTTTTTTTTTTTTTGTGGAAAGATGGCATATCAAGTGTTGGATTCAAATTCTTTAGATTCAATTTAATCACGTGCTCAAAACTCGGTTTATTATTTTTTTTTTTTTGCCGGACACAATAGACTTACACTATTCTATACTAGGAGGAGGAGGGACCTGAAAAAACCCAAAGACAACTTAGAGGGGACTGAACCATCATGGGCTCAAACTGGTGCCTATGCACCCACTGACGACATTTTCAAAAAAGTCTGAAATTTTTAGAATGTAGGCAAGGGGAAATTTTTAAAAGAGGCCCAAGACTCGGTTTAAGTTATGGTAACCTTTAATGATCAAGTTTTTATTTCGAAACTCTTTCCTTTCTTTTTCTTATATTAGTCCCTGCTCCCTACTAGTTGGGTAACGTTACAAGAATGATAGTTATGGATTTATATGCATATTATCTTGAGAGCTATGGTATGGTAGTGGATGAGCAGAATTTGAACTTTACGTATCATGAAACTTGAGTTAAACGAGTTTGTAAATTTGTTTGCTATTGAATCCAAGACTAGATAGTGGTGGTGGTAGATATGTGCTTTAGTATTCATGGACAAAACCTTGAGCAAATGTGTTTCGATTCTTCTTTGAACAAGAGGTATGATGCTTTTGAATTCATTGGGATAAGTTATGGGTTATTTAATCTTTAAATTATCTAGTTTTATCGGAAGCGCCCTTGAAACATCAAGTGGACGTGCCGGAGTGGTTATCGGGCATGACTAGAAATCATGTGGGCTCTGCCCGCGCAGGTTCGAATCCTGCCGTCCACGAAATTTTGGATTATGTCTTCAATGTTCTTGCATTTCTCACTTTTCATCAACCTCCATTGCCGTACCTCTTCCTTTGATATATTATTCAAGTTGTTTGCTTAACAAAGGTTCCAAAATGGATATACATCTATGGCTGATAGTCTGATACCTCATCGTCCGAGGAATTATTCTTTTTATTGGTAAAACTAGTTTTGTACCCGTTGGTTAAACGGAAATTATCAAAAAATAATAAACTATTTAGTTAATTTTATAAAAATGTCGATATAAAATATAAATTTAATGTATAATCTATTATAACTTGTCTTAAGTATATTACTATGTGCGCATTGTAATATAAAGTATTCTTATAATGTAAATTTGAATATCTAATTCAGTGAATAATAATTCAAAAATGGAAAAAATAATATTCAACAATATCATAACATTCAAAAACTTGAAAATAAATAAAAAGTGCAATAAATAGTATCAAATAAAATTCTACTCTTCAGAAACTTGTTTTTGTTTTTCTTCTGTTTGAACATTCTCCTCGATTTGTCCGTGTAAATCAGCATGTATTGATTTTCCATATGATCACAAAAATCAATTAACAAACATGTTAGCAAAAATCCTACAAAATAACGATGAAAGTGCTTGTTTAAATCCTATGTCTTCATACAAAACAAACAGAAAATAAAACAAAAAAAATAAAATTCAAGATATTTTACTAAACTGTTACAATTGAAGATCAACATGCCTTTTTTTAAAAAAAAAAATATGTATTGAAAGAAGATGTACCTGATAATCAAGAGGAGTGGAAACCCAAAATCGATACTTTAATGTGCCAACCGTTTGCACTGGAAATATCTAACCATGAATTTGATGCTTGAAATCAATATATTAGAGGCTATATGTAGTGTAGGTATAAGAAATAAAAATTGATAAGGATATAAAGAAATATTGATAAAAAACATTAAAAGTAGGTTTATCTTGATTTAAGTTGCTTAAAGTACGTAACTTTGGGTAGGAAATAAGAATTCTATAATATTAAAAATTCTTATAGAAAATAAAACCACAATCGTCCAAATACCTTTGGGTAAGAAATGAGACTATCTAGGTCTAGCGCCTCAGAATTTCCTCTAGCAAACTTTAGCCATAGGGGCCACAAAACTCAAGTGACAACATCCTTTTAGATGTCTCATTTGCTCGTAAATGCATCTCAAATAGGAATTTATATTTGACCGTACGGGTCAAATACATATAGTTAATTGGATTTAATTAACTTTTTCTTTTCTATAAATTTCGTACTATGCACAATGTCTTGATAACGCACTTAATAATAAAATTTATTAAGAATCCTATTCGGAAACTACTTGCCGTCTCGTTAAGCTACGTAGGAAAGAGAAAACATGAAGAGATAAGAATGAGAATATGACTTTATTATATATATATATATATGATTCTAGCCTGTACACATTAATTACCTTCATCTAATTTGAAATTTTAAGGGGAAAAAAAATTTGAGTGTTTGTTTCATGTTTTCTCAGAAAAACTTACTCTGTCCTCTTTTCCTCCATTTCTCCCCTCATTTGCAAATCTCCCCGTCTTATTTGAATTCTTCCCTTTCCTGGACCATCTAAAACTTTGTTTAGAAATTAGAACTCCTTCCTTTTTTTTTTTCCTCAAGAAAGAAGCCTGAGATTGCAAGCCTTCTTCTCATAACCTTTTCTCTTTTCTTCTCCCCCCCACCCCCCACCCCCTCCTTCTTGGCATACATATTTTTACTTTGGATTTGGCTCCTCTTTCGTATATGCCGTTTAGTAAAGTTGAGAACATACTGATCAAAACTACGAATAAGAAGAGAAACAAACAAAAAATTACATGCAAAAATGGAAAAGCAAAAAAGCAGCTGTAGGCCAGCAGGAGTTACATGTAATAAGAGGAAAGAGGTGGGAAAGCTGAGCGTCCAATCAAAATGATGTCCAAGTAATTGAGTTCACTGAAAGTCTCCTGCATCACACATCTCCCTTCAGAGTTCAGAGTATACGTTCCGCTTAAAAACCAGCCTGCGGCCTCCTGCACCAGCTACCCCATAAAGCAGCAGCGGCAGCAGCAGCAGCAGCACCACCCAGTCTCTTACTGAATCATTTGTCTCTCACTGATCACACATTATTCATATTTCTGTATAAATAACCAGGAGCAGATTATAGCCTATGCTTCTGGGCTAACTAGTTTTGGCCTCGAGGCTTCCCAATATTTTAATCTTTCTTTCACGCCCTTTAAAGCAGTGCACCTAATAAAGCGATTTCTTGACTCCTATAAACGGAAATATTCAGATGCATTCCTTGTTTTTCAGCACCTATTCACTAATGGAACTAACCTGTTACAGCAATAGCTTCCTTTAATAATCATCAAGAAAATCTCAGACACACATCTCCTAGGGTTTCAAAAGTGCAGTGAAACCTTCACCTTCTGGCTTCTGATCACCAATCTGTAAAAGTAGTATCTCATCAGGGATTTTTTTGAGCTGCAAAGGTTTAGACCTCAATACCACTAGAATCCCCGACCAACCCCTACTTAACAAATAAAATTTTTGTCCCTTTGAGTTGAGTGCATCAAACAAGGCTTCACTACACATACATGAAAGTACTCCAGGAGATGGGCTTGATGCTTCATCCCTATATTTTTCAGACACTGGAGGATCATAATCATGAAGTTTCTACATATCCTACAAACCCTGGAACATTGGATCCACCATTTCATCATTAACAAACAATTTGATTAAATCTTCATTTTTTTTCCTTATCCATTTAGTTAATCCTAAACAACTTTGACCTATATAATATGTCTAAATCATGACAGTGATTACTAAATGCATGACCTCACACATTAACTGCATGGCTGAAATCATGTTAATTCGAAGACTATAGCGAACAACTGCAAGAATAATACGTCTAGAACCAACTCATGTAGATCCTATGCTATGAAAGAATGACCCCGAATGAGAACTAGTTGTAAGATCACAAAAGCTGAGCAGTATTAAAAGCAAGCCACAGCCACTGACACACTACATGAGAGAGAGAAAAAGAGAGAAATGCCAAAAATTCAATTCAGAACATGTATTGCTCCGTTTTGGAGGAGAGAACTTCTTACTAGCTAGTCAGACGAAAGCAAAGAAGAAAAAGGTAACTAGAAAGTTGCGTTTCGGTTCTTGATAACATGCATTTCACCAAATTGTGAAAAAACAAAATTAAAAAAAAAAAAAAACAGACACCCAACTGTTTTCTGCTAATAAGAAAGCCTGAGGGACAGATCAATGGAATTGGATCCATCAACTGCACCACCAGTAGTAGTAGTTTTCGTGGCACAATAAGCATCTCCAGCACAACCCATAACTGCAACACCATCTGAAGAACAAGATTCCGAACCATCCGCCTCCTTCTTCATCATCGTCCTCGTCAACTCTTCATTTTGATCAGAGTCATGAGATTCGCTTTTGCTGACTCCTATCCCAGATGGAAAGAACTCGTAGAACAAACGGCCACTTCCACCCCTTGATGAACTTGCCTTCCTTTGAACTGCAACAACCTCTAGAGTACCCTATATCACATATAAATCAAAATCAAGTCACTACAACTATTTCCAGAAAACTCATGTCTAGATACCATTAGCATGATTGGGAAAGGAATGACAAGAATCAATTAATGAAAACAAAATACAGGAAAGAGACAAAAAACCATGGCCAGTATATATGTACCATATTTGCCATGAACATTAGAAAATTGTGACAATTACTGTACTAGTACATAATAAAAGTAAAGGGATTATTAACTATTAAGAACTGTTGTATATGAGATGACCAAGATTTGAAGAAGGTACCTGCTCTATAGTGCCACCAGCAGAATAAGTACCAGCGTGAAAAGTGGCTGTTTTGCCAAAATTTTGTTTTGTTCCCCTGTTGTTATATGGGCTGTTGCCGACGTTCAATCCAACAAAATCAGAGCTGGTAATGGAAGGCATTTCTGCAGCATTCACGTCTTTCAATGATCCCTTTAGTGTTACCAAATTTTCTCCACGAACGTGGCGCTTTTTCTGCTCAAAAAAGCAAAACAGAAGATAAATCCCAAATGACCGATGCGTACAGAAAAATGACTGACTAAGTTTGATACTGATAGGAAATTAAGTAAACGTTACCAGATGGCAAACAGTACAATGATCAGGGTAACACTTGATCAAACTTGGAGTTGAAGAGAGCTCTTTGGTGCTGGTCTCACTTCCATTTTCAACTCCAACTCCATGGGGATTTCCTGGAAACTTATCACCAGAAAAAACCAGCCCTTGTCCATGAAACAATCCCATGGTAGCACTAGTGTTTCCAACCCTCTGAACCAACATGGCCGCCTGGTTCAAGTTCAAAGGATAGACACCAAGCTCAGCCAAATGCATTGGAACAGTATTGAAGGAGGTGGGATCTTGACCGGGTGAAGTGGGAATAACTCCATAAGGCACTGATGAATGTGGACTTTGGGCTTGGGGATTGATTTCAGTTATTATTTTCCACCTATCTCCTAACCTTAGGCGCTCAAGCTGAGCAACCCCCATGCCTCTTTGAGGCTGTTTCTTCCTGCTTGATGATGACTTTCTTCGGCCTGGTCCAGCACTGCTCTGTCTTGAGGTTTGATGATGATCACGCCTTGTCGTGGGTGGAGTTGCTGTCTGAAAATGATGATCATAATGGTGAAGAAGATTGTTATGATCCCCAGACAATGTGGGGTTTGTGTTGTGGTCAGAAGAAGCCGTAAGGATGGAAGTGGCCATTTTCTTTCTTCTTTTCCTGCAGGTTTTGTGGGACTTGATTAGATTGAGAGGCAGAAGAGATGTGCGTTTGGGGAGAGGGAACCAACCAAGAACTACAGCTGAGAAACGCGGATTGGACAAGGGGCAGGAGGGCTATGTTAATTGGTGCCTGTGCAGCTGTGCTGGTTTCTTGTGTTTCATTTGATTCGTTTCAAGGCTTTGTGTGTGTTTTAGGTTTCACTGTACACCTATTTATATTCATATCCGCAGGAAATTGATATGGTCACTTTTGTTTTTCCTCTTGCCAGGCAGAAGTTTCAAGAGTACGAGGATTAATGTTGATTGTACAAGATGGTAATGCACCAAAGGACTTGGTTTTATGGTAGATGAATTTTGTCACCACGTAAGTTAACATGTGGGATCAATACATTATTGAGTGAAAATTAAAGAGATGGTAAAAAAAAAAAACATTTGGGACCACTAACTTTTTAAGTGTTAGAAGTACTTTTATTTTTTTGGATAATAAGTGTTAGAAGCACTTGAAAGGCAAGATAGTGAATATGATAATGTGGATGGATTAGAAAAGGTAAGCAAAATATAATGTAATTATTTAATTAATTTGAGGGCTAACAAAGATTGGATTAATTAGCTGATAACGTTTTAAGACTATGGGGAGGAATTCAGGATCTAATCCTCCTAAGTGTCTCTCATTATCTTAAAAATCAAAGTGAGCCCCTTATGGGGCCGCTGGTTTGCCCTTGCCTTGAAATGTATTAACTTCCAATTACTGCTAAACTTTTTTAGAGCCAAAAAAAAAAAAAAAAGAAACAAAAGCGGGGTCTCTTATTGATAAATGATCTTTAAACAGTGTTGTAGTCTGTGGGTAGAGGTGTCAAAATGGACGACTTCGACGGGTTTGGGTTGGTTAAAAAGGGTAATATGTATAAATGAGTCAACCAACTTATACCTATTTAATTAGATGGATATAAATAAGTAAGTCAAAAAATGAATTGGGTAACCCATTTACCCATTTATAACTCATTTATTTCAACTTTTTGTAAACCCATTTAAAAATTCATTTTTGCAAACTAAGTTATCAATTTGTATCACCGTTTGCACCCATCATTAGTTTTAAATATTTACTTATAATGTTCAATAAGCCTAAATATTAATTTTTTTTCATCCGTACTCTATGTCGCAAAATTACATACTACTTAATAATTGAACAATAAAAATATAAAAATGTGAACTAAGTACTATAAAAGTTAACATAAAAACTTAATCCACAAATTTTAAACTCCTAGCATTTTTTTCGTATGAAATTTAAAATTTCATTTTGGAATGGTATGAACAGAGGCTAAAACTTGTCATAAATTGATAATGCTGAAAAATGAGCAAATTAACAAACTAAGAGAATATCAAATGATAAAATAAAACCAACAAATAATAATAATAATGAAACAAAAGTAGTTAACAACATGACAAAATGAAGAATCTAAAAAAAATGGGTGGGAGAAGAGAAGAGAAGAGGTTTGGGGGAAAACAATTCTAAATAAGTTAATTAGATTTGATGGATTACCTAATAATATCCATTTATTAAATGGGTATTATTGGGTAACCCATTTATACTCATATGTAAAAAATTAAGATACCCATATCCATCTATTAATGGACGGGTATGGTAAATTTAGTTAAATGAATTTGTTTACCACCTATATTTGTGGGATGGTGGGCTGCTTTTGTTGAAAACGGATTAAATTAGCCAACTCTCAAACTCTTTTAAAAACAAAAAACAGAAAAAAAAAGAAGAAAAGAAAAGATGTAAGCAAACCTTTCCTGCTCCTAGACCTCTCAAAATTTTACCTTCAAAAATAGGTGGACAATTATATTCATATATTGGCATTTTAAGTGAAAACGAATTTGGGTTCCTTTATTTAAAAAAAAAACTTTTATAAATTGTTGCTCGAGAAATTAAAGATTTTTATAAGGAAAGTAAACATAATCTTTTTAAAAAGGATTAACGGTAATTCCTCACCTATTCCCTTGGTTGATATAAATCCCCTTGGGCTATAAGTCAGTGTGTTAAGTCTTGGTGTCTACAATTAAAAGAATCTAGAAAAGGTGTAGAAGTGTACTTCTATAATGTTAACCCTTCATATTGTCCGGTTGGTCTCTCCGCACGCTTTAGACCAGATAGAATAGGTTATAGATGTAGAAAGTTCCTCAGTTGATTTTGTTAAAGCAGAAGATTGTCCAGATGAAGTTTAAAGTTCGTTTTATTAACATTTTCAATTAAAAATGAGCATTCAATGCCAAGCAGCTAATTAAATAGCTAGGGATCACGTAGGCTAAGATTTTGATCATACTATGATATCCACATTGCCATGGGAACCAGCCTAATTGAAGTGGGGTTGTAATTGATTCCCTACTTTCATATATAGTTGGGAGAGGAGAAAAGAAGAAGAAGAAGAAGAAGAAGAATGACCATAGGATCATTATTTGCACCGTACTTCTAGCTAATGATAACCATGACCAAAATTCCCGGTTCAGTTCACCCAAGCTGCACCATTACAACAAAGCTGAAAGGATTCCAAAATGGAAAAACTCCTTTTTGCCCGAGTTGATACGTAATAAGAAGACTAACCATCTCAGTTATTCCAATCTCAATACTGCCTTGCTCAGAAAGCATTACTACTAGGAAAGGACAAATGTAAACACGTCCTGATATATAACTTTCGAGAAAACTAGGCTGCTTTTGATTGATAACTGCTCCATCAATATTGTAAACCCGTCCTGATAAAAAGTTCCAGTTGTTTTAATTCGCAGTATCAATATTGTATGGCAGATAACCATATGTTTGGGGAGAAAAAGGGGTTGACTGCAGGGTGGTTTGAACGTGTAATGAACTAAATTCGAGTGTGTCTTGTCTTTGCTTCGTGGAATGAAGCAAACATGTCTCTTGCTGATATAACATGAAATGAATACAGCACAATATCTTTGAGAAAGAATTCCATTTCAGTCTATGCCATTGCTAATTAACAACCCACAAGATATATGATTTGACAACTGCTAGCTTGTAATGGAAATCATCAAATATATGTGTGGAAATATATCTATCTATATATATAAATATCCCTTTTTTTTTATTTTGGGGGGTGGGGGTGTTAAAACATTCAGCTGGTTGCTTAGACGATTTAAGTGATCTTTTGATGAAGTAGGTATTGGCATGTATTATATATGGGTGGTCCCTTTGTTGGAAACTCAGAAATCGCATTCCACAACACACAATGTGGGCTTAGCTTAGGTACGATGCAGCAGGCAGAGGGATCTTTTGAGTGCTTAGCACAAATCCCAATCATTCCATGCAGAGGGCTGGCTATTTGCTTCTCAGAGCCCACAAAATCCATCATGTCTCTTCAAAAACAGTACATTCGTACACTTCCAAACCCATTCCAATTCCCATCCTCACACTTGTCGGCATATCCAAAAAGGTTTTACTCTTTTGCTCCTGGAGGAATGTGATATAGGCACCGTTTGATAAGTAAGTTTTTTTGTGTTTGTCTAAAATTTTATTGTGGTTTATTGTACAAATTTTAAAATTTTTTTTTGAATATTTTGAAGTGTATAGTTTAAAAACTTTAAAATTTTTTTGAGGTTATTGTAGTTAAAGTTTTTAAAAAACTTGTAGTAGACAAATTTGGCAAAAAACTCAAGTGCCAAACAGGGTCATAGTATCGCTCACATTTGGTTCTCCTCTCCGTTTATTGTTCCGTTTAAGTATATATACACTGAAGTTACTACTGTTTTACCAACATACTATGACTTAAAAAACATATCATCAACATCATAAAAATACAATATTGGTATATTCAAGTGTTCAAATCTTGTCTCTCATCAATTATCAAATTATGTGACTCTCTAAAAAATTCAGACGGGTATGTAATGCATCCGTAATGCATAAGTATACTCAAGATACTATAGTTTTACCAAAAAAACATATCACCAACATCATAAAGATACAACTTTAGTATACTCAACGGTTCAAATCTTGCCTCCTACCAATTATCACATCATATGACTTTTTAAAAAATTTAAACGGGCGTATAGTCCACCCATCTAATGCGGTGATGATTCAGTTTCCGATGATCTCTCCCATTGATTCAAGTGAACCCTCTTAGTATGGATTAGAGTATGAGTATCTGTAAAGTAGACTATTGCCTGCTGTCGAAAAAAAATCATAAAAGATACATACCCGTAGGCATTAATCATCTTTCCACAAAACACGTTGCAAGTTTAGCAGCCGCCTTATGTCCATATGGACAAACACTAATCTAATCGAACGGGCAAAGATTTCCTACGCCCCCTCCCCCGGGGTCCAACCACGGGGAAGGGGACCACAAACAAAGGAACTGTCGTCCGAGATTCTCTACAGTCATGATGGGATTTCCTCGTTTACGCTCGACATCTCTAAAGGGTCCGATTACCAACTTAGGAAAGGAAAGATGTGGCGCTAACAAGCGCTCATGGCTAGGGCGGCGCTGGTTCATAGTACAACTCCTCCTCGCTAGTAGGTCATGCAGTTTCCATTATCCATGCATGCGTGCCAACGCCAATTGGGCTTTTTAGGTTATGTCCTGCAGCTGCTACAGGATGGTGATTTTTTTTTTTTTCAGCAACGATAACAATTATATTACCCGTTCTATCCTAATTTACAAGGAAAGGGAAGCCTAAGGAGATTTATAACAATTATATGACCTAATCTATAGAGTAGGGGGATCCTAAGGAGATTTATGTGTTAGGCGCTCGTAAGTATGTAGACTTGACTAGATTAAGGGGGTGCAATTGCACCACCCTTTAAATTTTTTTTTTTTTTTTTTTGCTGTAGGTGAGGGGATTGAAGTCCCTCTCTGATGGCCATTGAGGTAAGCTCAGTGGTTTATAGGACGGTGATGCATGATGCATCTTCATATTTTGTTTCTAGCATTTTCAATTTTGTTAGTCAATACTAGTAGTAGATAATT